TTTCTATATTGGAAGAAAGTTTTTTTTTTTTTTGCGGCCTTTTCTTCTGGTTTTCTGGGGGGGAAAAAAGCGTCCCTTTCTCCGACCCTGGTTTTTTTCTCGAGAGTCCACTTTCTTTGCCCCCCGTCAACCCACTTTTTCTGGGGCGGGGGGGAATTTTTTTTTCCTTTTTGGGGGTTGTTTTTTCCCACGGCAGAAAAAAAAAAAAAGCCCGCTCTTTTTTTTCAACCCCCGGGCCCTCCCCCCCCCCCTCTCATTCATTTACACACACACACACACACACACACACACACACACACACACACACACACACACACACACACAGGCACACGCACACTGGCACATAAAATGAATAAAAACACGAAAAACATGTATATATCTATCTATCTCTCTCTCTCTCTCTCTCTCTCTCTCTCTCTCTCTCTCTCTATATATATATATATATATATATATATATATATATATATATATATATATATATATATATATATGTATATATATACACATGTATATTTATTTATACAGAGATGTGAATGTATGATTGAATGAATGGCAATAGTACACAACAAAGGTTTTTGTACGCAAGCAAGCAAATGAATAAATTAAGGAATAAGTAAATAGGATGAAAGAACGAATAACTGGATGGATGGTTGAACAAACAAACAAACAAACAACCGAACCAACGAACCAAAGAAACCCAACCAACCAACCAACCAACGAATGAACGAGTGAAGGAAAAGGAATGGAAAAACTACAAAAATAGGAAAATTAATATTGTATTTTTGCGATTCGGGCTCGCTGCGATAAAGAAATACGAACTAATTATTATCTGGTATTGGCGAAACTAATCCGACCTTGTCCTGTCGAGACTGTTCGAACTTTTCTTTAGAAAGAGACCTGTTTTAGCATGAATGACAGGTTCTTATTCATGCTTGCCCTCGTGTTGGGTAGGATGTTTACAAGAATTATAGTTATAATTTGTTTTAGAAGCTTGATGATAGAGTTGGGGGAGTACTAATTATCTGACGTTCACGTTTTTTATGTGTTTGATTACTCTTTGGACGAAAAAAATAAGAAAAACATGAGTAGACAGTCTCTAATTACTGATGTCTGTCCCTATTGCTGTCTTTGTGACCCTCTGTCTGTCTGTTTATCTCTCTCTCTTTTTCTCTCGTTCTATGTCTCTGTCTGTCTGTCTGTCTGTCTGTCTGTCTGTCTGTCTGTCTGTCTGTCTGTCTGTCTGTCTGTCTGTCTGTCTGTCTGTCTGTCTGTCCGTCCGTCCGTCCGTCCGTCCGTCTGTCTGTCTGTCTGTCTGTCTG